CTTATTCTTAAGCAGACCTTAATGTCGATCATGGATCAAATCAATCCACCATGACAAACAGTGAATATATCTGTGCTGTTTAATGCATTTGAGACGTTGTGTCTTCCTCAGTGCATAACTGACATGTCACAGGTATATTCTTCATCTCTAAATGTTAGAAAGTCATGCAAACATAGCCATTTTGCTGTCAGGAGTGGGCAAGTGAACGAGCGCTGCTACGCGCATGCGCACTAAATAGACGGAGCGCAATCGAATAGGAGTGCAATAATTCCGAGTAAAATAAACATTTTGCAAAAAAAATTGTTTTTGTACATTAATTGTGTCTTTTGTAGAATTTTAAACCTACATATAAAGTGTATTTTTATGATAGCAGTAACTGTAAGTGGACTATTGTAATAGGTAAATCAAATGTAAGCTAGTTGGCTACAGTAATAATTACTAAGCTCAAATGAGTTAACGTGTGTTTCTTATAGCAGTTAAAATATAGTCATTTTCTTTATTTATTTTCATTTTTAATTGAGTGATTTTAACTTTTAATTTAGTTATTTTAATGCTTTAAAGAGCAATTTTAGATTGCAATGTTCATAAAAAATGCAGTTAGCTCAAATAGCTGAGGGCACACAACAGGCGCTGTTTGGATGAGCATAATGCTTGTATGTTCAGTGCATGGCGTGTGTTTCACTAGCTCCGCTCCCATGGACACCTTTTGTTTGACCTAATTCTGGATATTTCCAGCCTAAGACGTGTGATTAATCCGTAGCTAAAGCCGTGTCTACACCAAGAGAAGCCATTATAATCAGTTGATGCGGTAACTGTCCACACGGGAAGTGGCGCGAGGCAACAGATCTTCTACAGTAACTGATGCCTCCTTCTATTCCGAGTCTTGGAAACATGCGTTGCATGCCTTGAAAGTGAAACCTAATAAAACAGCGCGCATAAGAAAGCCATTTGCGAGCTTCAGGAAATGCACGCGATCACAAATTGCACGCTTCCCAGCCGAAACAACCCCCACGTGAAACTGAAATAATAACCCGTGATATAAGATTTTGGCCATATTGCCCATCTAAATCATTCATCCCACATTATCAACAGGCGTTTGGGCACCACAAGGTGTCACTGTGGCCTCAAAGCTTACCCCTCGCCTACTCTGGCTCGATTGCTATTCCTGAGGAAAAACACGCCCTCCTCATTACCCTACGGACAAAGAAATGTAGAAATAAATAAATGAGGAAATAAATAAATACGTAAATAAATACATAAATGTCAAAATAAATAAAAGTGGAAATAAATAAATGTATAAATAAAAAAATAAAATAAATAAATGTGGAAAACAATTAAAAAAAAACATAAATAAGGAAATACAATTATAAATAATTATTTATTTTTGCTTTTTTACTTTTCTTTGTATATTTCTTTCTTTATTTTTGCATTTTTACATTTATTTATTTCTAATTATGGCAGGTTTGGCATTCCATAGTAAAGCAGCTCTACAAGACAACAGTGTCATTATTCAGATCAAGTCAGTTCAGTGTTGGTTCTTGAGTGATTTCCTGCATACTGAAGCTGTGCTTGTTTCACGCCTCTCTCGACATTTTCTTTCTTCGGACAGAATGAAATCATTTACACTCTAGTCGATATGTGAGTTTATTTCAGTCACAGTATGTGGTGTATAGTGGCTCGAGCTCTCAGGACCGTTGACCGGAGGCTTGCTGGCTACAGCTTTGCACCACAGCACAATTAATTAACTCCAGATTAAGGCTGTAAAAACGTTTCTGAATAACACTCACAGAAACAATGACTATCTGCTTCATGAATATTTTTCTTTTGCAGTTTATCCACAGAGATCTAGCAGCCAGAAACATCCTGGTGGGAGAAAGCTTTGTGGCAAAGATCGCTGATTTCGGCCTGTCCCGAGGTCAGGAGGTTTACGTGAAGAAGACCATGGTAATGATCCGAAGGCCGCTGTTCTTGTCATGCATTACTGAACATGCGTGATTTTAACATGCGTGTTTCTCTGCAGGGGCGTCTGCCAGTGAGATGGATGGCCATCGAATCTCTCAACTACAGCGTTTACACCACCAACAGTGACGTGTAAGTGTGTGTATATATATATAATAAAAATATTAAAATTGACAAAAGCACAGAACCAAATTACTCAAATTAAAATAAGACCTGAAATATAATATAAAACATTAATACTGTAATAGTAAATAATACAAGTTTTTTAAACATTTCTGTTGTGAGATGTATTGTAGTATAAAGAAATGTATATGAAAAAAAAATAATAAAAATGAAAGAAGCACATAACAAAATTACTAAAATAAAAAAAATAAAAATAAAAGCTATTACAAAATATTAAAGTTACTGGCATGATGTGATTTGGTGGCTTTGATTGGCAGGTGGAACGCCGTATTGCGGTATGACGTGCGCGCAGCTGTACGAGAAACTCCCACAGGGCTATCGGCTGGAGAAGCCGCTCAACTGTGATGACGAGGTGTAAGTCTCAGACACCTGTGTCCATCTGCGGATGATAGAGTGGAGATGAGTCTGCTTCTCTGTACTGTTCTGCAGAGGAAGCTGGCTGACGTTTTGCTGTTACTGTACAAATCTCTGAGCGCTTAACAAACGCTTAATTAGATCCTTTGAGCAGGATTCACAGTTTTACACACATTGTGTTTCATTAGTAAATGACTACCGGATCATATTTCTTTTATGTTGTGTGAGATGATGACTGGAGATACTGACAGATGTGTGACGTATGTATATTTAATTGTTTTTAATAAAAAGCCTGTCTTGTGTGCCAGCTTGACTGTGAGCCAGCTTGTTTCTACATGTACATACTGCTTTGTGCAAAATAGACCTGTAATGGAAACGAATGAGCCCACAAAACCTCTGGAAAAGCTTCTAGTTTTGTAACCAAATAAAACAATTTATAACTGTTTCTTAGCACACATGAAACAAACTAGAGCTGCATTACAGACAAATAAGAGTTCAGTGTGTAATTATGTACAGGATACAGGAATTGGTTAGACATCTTTTTACAACCGTTTGCTGTGATGCTGGCAATTGAGAGAATTTATTGGTTATGAAACGGTTTTCATTAAATGTCCATCATAAGACTTTATGAAACACTGTGGTAATTTCAGTCTAGCTAAACTTCTCATGGTAAATTTTCCACTGATAAGTCACTTACGTTTTTAATCGACCTCTTTGATTTTATCCACATTCTGTCTCATTGTAACACTACGATCATCTCCAGTCACAGTATGAGCATGCTGAGTAAAATCAGTTTCACATTTATTTGTATAGTGCTTTTCACAATGCAGATGGTTTCAAAGCATCTTTACAGAAAAAGCATTCTAATGATGGTGTAATTTGGCTCTAATGAATCTTGCATTAAATCAGGAAACTTCTCCTAATCCTCAGCTTCAGGTGACTCTCAATCAAATCAATTCTGCTGACAACACAAGTGTCATACGCAAGTAAGTTTTTCCCAATGATTTAAAAAAAAATTTGCATTAGTTTTGGTAAAAGATCAACAGGACATTTGTCTTTTGTCCATTTCACCACCGCATAAAGATCAGACGCTGTTGTCGTCATGGATTCTGTCAGTCTGCAGCTGTAATGTAATCATTCACTCCACATGAAGATGGGTCCTGACCAGGACACACGGCTGGTCTCTCACGGCTCTCCCTCGGCCGTCTCCCTCTGTGTCATGATCACACACACCTCGTAGACGCAGAAGGCAGCGAAGACGGTGGCCAGCAGGCAGGCGGCGCCCAGAATGTACCACCAGTTGAAGAGGCCGAAGGAGACTCCTCTGACGATGCAGTAGAGACCGAAACACACCAACGCCACGGCGGAGAAGAGCTGCACACACAGCGGCGGCCCGGACGAGGACGGTTTCTCACCCATGATGAAGCCTGCGGCCCTCACGCTCTAGCAGACAGACCTGAGAGAGAAACCTTGAGGGGAAAAACAATGTGACTAATGATTAGGATTGCCTGAGCAGTGAAATCTAAGTGAGTCTGTGTCATGATGAAGAATGAACAGCACAAGAGTCTTCGTCAGGAGCTCCAGCGCAGCACTGAGAAGCAGACGCGATCGCTGGCTCTTATATCAGCCTCTGCTCACAAACCTGAGATTAAAGACAGCAGAAACACTCATCAAACCACTCAGGGTCTAATCCAGTCGCTCTCGCTGAGCAGCGTTTAAGAAACTCCAGCTTCTATTACGCTGACTTGCAGGTTCATGTAATCAAGGTAAGTGCAGCTGATAAAGAGCTTATAGACTGAAAGTTAGGGTTTTCAGGTCGACTAGAGATGCTTTGTGTTGCTGCACTGAATGCAGCGACAGAGATATCAATGCAAGGACACGTAGAAGTATTACAATCAAATATTTCAGCTATATGTTCTCATAAATGTTGGGAGCGATACAGTTAAATACAATCAAAATATTCTTTATTGCATTATGAAATTTACAGGGTCACGTTTCAAAAAAAAAAAAGTTGGACGAGAGCTTAAAAGTGGAACTCACACAACACCAATTAAACAAATGTATATTATGGTTTTATTGCAAATGAGAGATTTGAATAGAATCAGTGCAGATCCGACAGACACTGTCTGACCGTTTCAATTCTCCTCAAACACACTGTCAGACTGTGATTGGCCAATGAATACTGACGTCCAGTTCACAGAATTACTGTCCGTGGCTGAACTGAGCATCAGATTTATCATCAAATGATCCAGTGACTAAAACTAACCCATCATTTCAGTGCAGCACAAACAGAAATAAAGCAACATGGAGATGAATGAAAGCAGCTCATCCAAACCTCACAGAGCTGAACGTTAAATGAAGGTGTCCACGTCTTGGTGTGGATTTGAGCAGATGTCTGAATGAAACATGAGTCCTCTGATTGCTCTGTTAGCCCAGTGTGAGTAACACGCCTCGCCACTAGATGGCGCTCACTGTCAGTCTCTCAGCCTCATCCTTACAGTTCAGTCTGGTTCAGTGATGATGTCACAGGCTCTGGAATCACCCTGGTGATGACCTCATCTCCATGGCAACCCAGTTCATGGATTAAAGCTCCTGAGAAAAGCCTCTCAGGTGTGAGTGTTTGGAAACGGTCCAGATGCCGGCGCTCACAAACACATTCTAGAGGTCATTTCTTTCTGAAATCCCCAGAGAGAGAGAATTACATTAGTACAATATCTCTCACACACACACACACACGCACACAATATCTCACACGCACACACACTCACACTCACACACTCACTCACACTCACACTCACTCACACTCAGACACTCACACACACACACTCACTCACACTCACACTCACTCACACTCAGACACTCACACACACACACTCACTCACACTCACACTCACTCACACTCAGACACTCACACACACACACTCACTCACACTCACACTCACTCACACTCAGACACTCACACACACACACTCACTCACACTCACACTCACTCACACTCAGACACTCACACACACACACTCACTCACACTCACACTCACTCACACTCACTCACACTCACTCACACTCACACACACTCACTCACTCACTCACTCACACTCACACACACGTGCACGCACACTCACACTCACGCACTCACTCACACTCACGTGCACACTCACTCACATTCACATTCACACTCACACACTCACACTCACACTCACACACTCACTCACACTCACACTCACTCACACTCAGACACTCACACACACACACTCACTCACACTCACACTCACTCACACTCAGACACTCACACACACACACTCACTCACACTCACACTCACTCACACTCAGACACTCACACACACACACTCACTCACACTCACACTCACTCACACTCAGACACTCACACACACACACTCACTCACACTCACACTCACTCACACTCAGACACTCACACACACACACTCACTCACACTCACACTCACTCACACTCAGACACTCACACACACACACTCACTCACACTCACACTCACTCACACTCAGACACTCACACACACACACTCACTCACACTCACACTCACTCACACTCAGACACTCACACACACACACTCACTCACACTCACACTCACTCACACTCAGACACTCACACACACACACTCACTCACACTCACACTCACTCACACTCAGACACTCACACACACACACTCACTCACACTCACACTCACTCACACTCAGACACTCACACACACACACTCACTCACACTCACACTCACTCACACTCAGACACTCACACACACACACTCACTCACACTCACACTCACTCACACTCAGACACTCACACACACACACTCACTCACACTCACACTCACTCACACTCAGACACTCACACACACACACTCACTCACACTCACACTCACTCACACTCAGACACTCACACACACACACTCACTCACACTCACACTCACTCACACTCAGACACTCACACACACACACTCACTCACACTCACACTCACTCACACTCAGACACTCACACACACACACTCACTCACACTCACACTCACTCACACTCAGACACTCACACACACACACTCACTCACACTCACACTCACTCACACTCAGACACTCACACACACACACTCACTCACACTCACACTCACTCACACTCAGACACTCACACACACACACTCACTCACACTCACACTCACTCACACTCAGACACTCACACACACACACTCACTCACACTCACACTCACTCACACTCAGACACTCACACACACACACTCACTCACACTCACACTCACTCACACTCAGACACTCACACACACACACTCACTCACACTCACACTCACTCACACTCACACTCACTCACACTCACACTCACTCACACACTCACTCACTCACTCACACTCACTCACACACACTCACACACACTCACACTCACACACTCACTCACACTCACACACTCTCACTCTCACACACTCACACTCTCACACTCACACTCACACACACTCACACACACTCATGCACGCACACTCACTCACTCACTCACACACACGTGCACGCACACTCACACTCACGCTCACGCACTCACTCACACTCACACTCATGCACACTCACTCACACTCACTCGCTCACTCTCACTCATGCACGCACACTCACTCACTCACACTCACACACTCACTTACTCACTCACTCACACACTCACTCACTCACTCACTCTCACTCATGCACGCACACTTACTCACTCACTCACTCACGCACACTCACTTACTCACTCACTCACTCTCACACTCACGCACGCACACTCACTCACTCTCAGTCATGCACGCACACTCACTCACTCACTCACGCACACTCACTCACTCACTCACGCACACTCACTCACTCACTCACGCACACTCACTCACTCACTCACGCACACTCACTCACTCACTCACGCACACTCACTCACTCACTCACGCACACTCACTCACTCACTCACGCACACTCACTCACTCACTCACGCACACTCACTCACTCACTCACGCACACTCACTCACTCACTCACGCACACTCACTCACTCACTCACGCACACTCACTCACTCACTCACTCACATTCACGCACACTCACACACACACACACACACACACACACACACACACATCACTGCACTGATACTGAAGGGTTTGTGATTCATTCTGTCATTACTGATTACAAATCTATGACTTTCCCTCGTCCTCAATACTACAACTATACAATAATCAGCATCAAGAACATGATGAGAAAATTAGCTTTCGCTCATCAGCAATTATTCATGAATTCAGGAAGGTTTTATCCAGCTGAATCTATTGCAGAAGATCCATTTCTAACTGAAGAATGAAATGATGCTTTATTATATCTATTCCATGGACTTTAAGCAGACGTGTGTCTGGTTCTGTTCTCACCAGCGGCTCCAGCTCCTTGCACTCTATCAGGTTGAGTTCAGTGGAGAAGTAGTAGAAGTGCTTGTAGCAGGTGTTGACGTGCGCTTCGGCTCCCATCAGGAGGATCCGGTCGAAGTGATGGATGTAGACGTGCACGAACACACGGAAAAGACGACACAGGATCTTCTTACAGATCTGGATGAAGTTCTTTGGGAAGGGAATTCCTGAAAGACCAAAACACAAAGAGGAAGAATGAATGTAGAAAAACAGAGAGGAAGTGACAGAGGATGAAGATGTGGAGCAGACACCTCTCATAACCAGAGGACTAGTTTAACAATCACAGGAATTAAATACAAACATCATCTGAACCTTCACTAGTCCGGCTCACAAGTCAAGTCACCTTTATTTATAAAGAGCTTTATACGATACTGGTTGTGTCAAAAGAAAGTGAAAGACTGTACATGTGGCTGTTGTGTAAGTGTACATGAGTTTGTGTGTTTGTGACACTGAATTAGTGCCTTTGTTTTCTAACAAAAGCTCATTATGTTCTGCTCATGGCCGAATGAAACGCTACTTGTTTTCAAACTGTCGAGCAGCATTCAGATCACAGATCAGCGGCTCTTATGAATCAATGAGGTTTCAGACTCACTTTACTCTGGACCACAGAAGCAGAGGAAGCTGTTCAGCGCTCTGAAGAACAGGGAAACGTATTTCATCAAGCTTTCAGGTCCATTTTCCTCCTGAACCTCTGAGTTCTCATGATTCTTTCAGCCGTAAACAGCTCATTTCACTGAATAACCAGAGATTTCACGTTTCAAGCCATGTAGTCATCAGTACTGGAGTCAAAAACTAAAGACTCAGAATGACTTATTGAGCATGATATTAGTCAGGTTAAAGCTGCTGTACAGTATTTGTACAGATGATGGCGTGATGCATTGCTCGCTGTTTTATAGTGAGTTACGGCTGTGTAATTCAATTATCCACAGCTTGATGATATCTTCATAAGACTGTCTGAAAGCCTAGTCAGCGCAGGATAAGCCGAGCTGCTGACCGGTTTAGGCCCTCAGTCATGTGATCGGTTGGGGAGGGTGGGTTAGTTACTGCAGGTCATCAATCCTCTTAATCTGCTCAGAATACGGCCTGAAAAACACAGTACTGTGAACATTTATATGCTGCAGCTCGATGAACCTTCACGTTCTGAAGTAGAGTTTGATTCACAGCACTGATAATTCTAGACACAAGTGCTAATTATGAACACGACCGGTTTCTATTAGACACCTAACAACATAATCTGGGTTTAGGGCCAAAGACCGCGCTTCACACGGTCCGACTAGTCAGGATTGTATTTCAACCCGTTGTTCGGCTCACAGTCAGTTTAGATCAGGGACTCAATCCTGATCTTTCCTTCCTGCAAAGTTTAGATCCAACACAAGAAACAATTAATCAATATTTAGAGGTTTATTGTTTATTACCAACACTGGCCCGTATCGGATCTGGCTTAAACTCCATAAAGAAGTACTCGCATCACAAACAGACCTTTTAAATGCGTGCCACATATATTCCAGCATCAGCGTCCCAGAGCTACAGTGCAGAGGGGAACCAGAAAACAATAAGCAGCCAGACAATACAAATGCTGTTTCTGCACACTGTCTATGATCACACTACAGTAGGGCTCAATCGAGCTGTGAAAGAACCGCAAAACAGTCAAAGCTGAAAACAGAAAAATCACACATCCAAAAATGGTTTGATCAAGACTTTCTAAGCAGTTTGCAAACGCCTCAGAATGCTGACCAATCAGAAACATGGAAACCCGAATAATAGAGATCCACCGCTTTACTGTGAAACATTAAAACAACACAAAAAGCACAATAAATTCAAAATCAACTGACAATAACTGAGAAATAAGTCAATACAAAAACAGCTGGAACAAACTGTAAAAAAAACTGTCCATGGATAACTTAAAATTGAGAAATAAGGGAACTAATTTCCAAACACTATTGAACAAATCAGAAAAAAAAACATAGGAACTAAACAGATAACTCACTTGTTACAGTATACTGCACTACCTACAGCAGGTCCAAACATCACATCCGAAGTACATTTTAACACAGAAGTGAATGAGCTGAGAGACACTGAGAGAGATGCCATCAAACCACAACGTCCCATAGAGAGCTGATTAGAATCGGTGATTGAGTGGATTGTCCTGTCTGGTGAAGTCCACTGACAAACAAAATCAAGAATTCACCAATTAGAAAAATTCTGCAAAAATATCCTACAGATCCACAGGAACACAACAAATCAGCTTCTGCAAGTGGATCTTAATGCAGTTCTCATGAGGTGAACACAAGACGGCACACGCGTGTCTGTGCGAAACTCTGTCTACACCACATTTCACCAGCACTTCTTTTATTAGTAGGATTCCTTTTATTCTTATCTTCATTTAACATTATGGATTTTACATTCAACTATACACTGCATTGTTTTCTCTTTTATTTATTAATGGGAATTGATTTACATTTTTAATCTGACTGTTATCTGTATAACTGGTTTATCAATCTGAATGTAGGAATATCTGTCGTGTCAGTAAAGCACATTAACCCTGCGCTGTGAGGAGTGGAGAGTGCTGTGTTTCAGTATTTCAGGCCGCTGCGGATCACAACAGGGTTCGGTTACAATGACAGCTGATGTGTCTTCAGGGCACCTGATGGCCTTGAATTATTGACAGCATGTCGGTGATTGTGTTCCTGTGAACGAGACCTTCTGCCCTCTGTGATGAACGACTAGGCATGGGCCGGTATCAGATTCTGATGGTATGATAACCTTAGACAAAAATATCACGGTTTCACGATATCACGATTACAGCTCTAAAATAAGTTATTTTTAAATGTCTGAACAACTTTTTTCCCCCACTGAACACAATATATTTTATTTTTAAGAAACATATAGAACATTTTGGAACAGTAAACATGTCAGGCTAAATAATTAAAATAAATAATTAACTGTCCATGGATAACTTAAAATTGACAAATAAGGGAACTAATTTCCAAACACTATTGAACAAATCAGAAAAAAAAACATTAGGAACTAAACAGATAACTCACTTGTTACAGTATACTGCACTACCTACAGCAGGTCCAAACATCACATCCGAAGTACATTTTAACACAGAAGTGAATGAGCTGAGAGACACTGAGAGAGATGCCATCAAACCACAACGTCCCATAGAGAGCTGATTAGAATCGGTGATTGAGTGGATTGTCCTGTCTGGTGAAGTCCACTGACAAACAAAATCAAGAATTCACCAATTAGAAAAATTCTGCAAAAATATCCTACAGATCCACAGGAACACAACAAATCAGCTTCTGCAAGTGGATCTTAATGCAGTTCTCATGAGGTGAACACAAGACGGCACACGCGTGTCTGTGCGAAACTCTGTCTACACCACATTTCACCAGCACTTCTTTTATTAGTAGGATTCCTTTTATTCTTATCTTCATTTAACATTATGGATTTTACATTCAACTATACACTGCATTGTTTTCTCTTTTATTTATTAATGGGAATTGATTTACATTTTTAATCTGACTGTTATCTGTATAACTGGTTTATCAATCTGAATGTAGGAATATCTGTCGTGTCAGTAAAGCACATTAACCCTGCGCTGTGAGGAGTGGAGAGTGCTGTGTTTCAGTATTTCAGGCCGCTGCGGATCACAACAGGGTTCGGTTACAATGACAGCTGATGTGTCTTCAGGGCACCTGATGGCCTTGAATTATTGACAGCATGTCGGTGATTGTGTTCCTGTGAACGAGACCTTCTGCCCTCTGTGATGAACGACTAGGCATGGGCCGGTATCAGATTCTGATGGTATGATAACCTTAGACAAAAATATCACGGTTTCACGATATCACGATTACAGCTCTAAAATAAGTTATTTTTAAATGTCTGAACAACTTTTTTCCCCCACTGAACACAATATATTTTATTTTTAAGAAACATATAGAACATTTTGGAACAGTAAACATGTCAGGCTAAATAATTAAAATAAATAATTAAATTCTTCTAAATTAAGTGCAGTCACTTAAGTGATCCTAAACCTGCAGCTCAACAATAATCAGTACATAAATAAATTATTTTCTGTAAAAAAATAAAATACATAAAAAATCCCTATAAATGAAAAAAATGCAGTCACTTAAGTGAGCCTAAACCTGCACCCCAATAATCAAAAATATAATCAAAACATAATTTCTGTAAAAAAATTAAAAAATAAATATAAAATGCAGTCATTAAACCTGCAGCTCAACAAGGTTTTTGGAGACATGCTCGCTTTCTACACATTCATCTTTCAGTCCAAGTTATGATGCAGGAATGTTCACCTTTCCCGGATTAAGTTTGGAGCTATGGTTTGGAGCGGTGAGGTACGAGGATGTGTGCACATACACACATAAGGAAAGAGAGAGCGCAGCTATGGTGTGGAGCGGTGAGGTACGAGGATGTGTGCACATACACACACAAGGAGAGAGAGAGCGCGAGTGTCACACACACACAGTCTCTCCGTACAACACTCAAACAGTGGGAAAGTTTTTTTTTTTTTTTTAATGTCGTGATTTTGAACAGATGTATTTTTGAAGGACAATTTTTGAAGGATCATGTGACACTAAAGACTGCAGTACTGGCTACTGAAAATGTAGCCTCTCCATCACAAGAATAACAGGAGAGTTGCTGCCGTGTGTTTTGAGTTTGAGCTCCGTCAAGTTAATTCTTTAACGTCTATTTTTTATCTTAAAATCTATTTTATACAACATCATTTTCGTTTCTATAACGTGTGAATATATCCCCTATCGTATTCTACAACAAAAACAATCAGAGCGCCTTGTTATCACTAGTTTTATTTTGATTTTCCGAGTCCGCTATTTGCATATAGCCGATTAGCATCGCCAGCGTGGTTGCTGCTAATCTCGCTTACATTGCTAATACTCTATTCACACACATTACCATTGTTTTACTCACTGTTACTTGCTTTAATGGCGGATGTGTATCTACCTTTGAGAGCAGGTGAGGACACGAGCTGGAGGCCGTGGAGAAGCAGATCCGCGACCTGGTGGAGAGGCAGACCCAGCTGAGAGAGCGGAGAGGACCGCTGGAAACATCC